ACTACGGATCATTATAATATATTGCATCAAATATCTAATAGTTTTTAAAATATTTTAAATTGATAAAAACCTGAAGACGACGGTATTACCCGTCGAAACATGTCGTTTTAATAAAAGCGCTAAAAATATAATGTAAAATCGTATTTACGATTAAGAGCGCTAATATAATATTTTACATAATAAAATGTTTTAATATTATATAATTTTTACAACACCAATAAACTTTAAACGTTTGTGTATAGACTGTACAAAATAAATATATTAAACCAACAAAGGTAACCAACTCCCTTGTTACAGTACACGAATGTTGTAGATCACGTGACATGATCCTGAGAGATATTAGAGAAGAAAAATATATGAAATTCAATTGTTTGAATTAGTTTTGAATAGTGGTATAGCAGTTTTCTTTTGTCAATCGTTGTTTTATGAATTTTTACTCCCTGAAGATGTAGGCGGCATTTTCATCCGAAACGTTTTCATCGCTTTAAGAACCTCAAATCCCAGTTTTGTTTCGTTTGAGGGTTTTTTTTTAACTGGGTAAGCCAGGAGCGGCAGCAGTGGCGTTGTATATTAATTTTGTTTTGCTTATTAAAATTCCATTGGGAGACTACTAATTTTCCCGTACACAACTCGAAAGGTCAAATTGAACCGTGTGGCCAGATATTCTGCACCGTAACAAAACACTGTGAATGTATTGTCCGTCTTGTTATTTTAGCTGAACGTACAATATTATTGTTTTAGCTTTGGAGTCACTCTCACCTACCGCCATTTCAAGCTCCTCGCGAAGCCTTGACGTCAGTGTTCGTATATTTTAATCATCCCCCATATTCTGTTTAGGCGTGTTATTTTTTATGAACACGGTTATACGTTAGCGATGCGAATTTTTCGTAGATGCATCCATTTATCCAGCAGCTCCGTCTGTCTTATCATTTGTAGAGAAAACGGAATGTCATGGTTTACGACACACCCAGAGAATATCGAAACCAAAGGTCTCTGTAATAGGTACAAGAAGACATTCGAATAGCGTAGACATGTAGCAAAAGATTTGGTTCTCGTAACAAGAAAAATGAATTGAAGGTAAGGTACTGTAAGGAAACTGTAAGAAAAATGTCGAAAAGGGTTTTCGACATTGTGTAGATGTACTTTGTTCAATTACGTATACTTGCCTTTCGATTTGTGTGTCCATGGAAGTGTATCGATATATTGACAGCTGTTGATAAATCATCTTCGTGAATCGATCTTTATATCTTCTGTGCAAAAAATGTACGATGTAAAGGAATCCCAAGATGTCCCTACGATCGTTTTAAATACATTTCGGTTGCGTCTAGTGGTGTGCGGAAGGTGTGACGTGTACATGAAGCTCAATTCTAAAGTAATCGATTTATTTATTTATTCGAAAAGCAGCTTGTCGACCGACAAATTTCATCTGAAATGTTATTCGTTGGAATGAATTTGTTAACTAAATGAAATAAAAAATAATATCTTGAGTTTGCACAGTTTGATGTTTAAGGAATACCAATTACATTTCACTTTTTTTGTGTGTAAAACAAATGTTCTCTCTTTACACTGCATATTCCTTTGACAAGAGTTTGTTAATTTCAGTCTTCGCATAATTGAAAAAAAAAATATCAACCCTGCTAAATAGTTAGAAGAAACTTACTGTCTACATTTCATGGGTGGTTGTATGTTTTATTATTTTCCTAGATTCCTCGAGAGATTAATGTTTTATGCTTCACGTTAAGATGCCTTAAGCAATTTGCTATGATGCGTTAAACTTTCAAAAGGGGGCAGACTTTGAAAATGAAGCAACACGAGCATCTCTCTTTTACAAAATATTTATGCTGTTTATACACCGGAAGCCATGAAGCTTTGCTCCCATTAATGTAAGTGCTTGTGTCTGTGTAGTTAGCAAGATTCTCCCAGAAACGGTGCGCCTTACAATAAGCTCGGCTAAGTTTTATTTACATGAAGCAGTGTTTCGTGGTGACACTGCTTTGTTGCTCTGAAATCTCATGTCGTGGTTCAGACGGCTTCGTCACAAAATTCTGTGTGGACATGTTGAAATAGCGCAGTTCAACAACTTCAATAGAAGAACCCGTCACTGGTCCCAATTCCGAGCCATTTTAATCCAACCCTGATCACACATTATTCCGTTAAGATACATTTCTCCGCCGCCATGCGTGCTATACGCCCAACCGTTTACATTTCCACAGTGTCGCTTTCACCTCACAAGTTCGCTCTGACGCCATGTTAGTATTGATGTCTGGAAATTTAAAGATGAAAGTGAAGGTTTAGTCTGTAGTGATATTACGTTTCATTAAATTCTTATATACTGAGTTCCAGCGTTTTTGGCCGCTGAACTTTTGTGAATTGGAACCTCGGAGCGAGTCACTTACCAGAAGTTTGCTGGAAGGGACGGCAGCAGGCCGCGTACAGTACACTCCAAATAAAATATCACCACGGTATGTAGCACAGGAAAGTCGATTTCACTGAACTACAGAACACTAGAAAATGAACACTGAAGAGAGTATCAGATAATTTTATCTTCTTCCAATTGTTCCACTCCTCACAGACCATCGCTTTCTGACATCACTCGATTCATCACTACCGCTGTTGATGTCCACTCCATTATCTTCAATTAAATATATTATATATTAGTGACCAAGTGTGACAAAGCTTGACTAGGCGTGACGAGAGATCATAATAAGTGTTAAAATATGACGAAGATTTTAAAAGTGTGTCTGAGCGTGACCAAGAGTGCTCAAGCGTGACAAAACGTGACTAAGCGTGATGTACTGTAACGGAGTGACGAGGTGTGGCCAGAAATGTCGAAACTTGACGAAGATTATCAAAACATTTCCTAACCTAACCTATGCTATCCTAACATAACCTATCCTAACCTAACCTAACCGAGCATTTCTAACCTAACGTAACCTGCCATAACTTAATCTAAAGTATGTTAAATTAGCAAAAATTAACCGAGCCTTACGCAACATAACGTAAGCTTGCCGAAGCTTGAATTGGGCTTAGTTTGTCTGTCTGAGTGTGGAGATACGAGGCTTTATCAATGACCAGAAAGGAGATTGCAAGGAACATGTTCCATGTTGTTGACACAGCACAGTCACAAGACGACAATTATCAGGCTTCCAGACTGCTGCACTGACACAGACTGTACTGACCGACGGAAACTCCTTCCTTCCTTCCTTTCTTCCTTTCTTCCTTCCTTTCTTCCTTCCTTCCTTCCTTCCTTCCTTTCTTCCTTCCTTCCTTTCTTCCTTTCTTCCTTTCTTCCTTCCTTTCTTTCTTCCTTCCTCCGTTACGTGCAGTCAGTTTATGAAAATCAAAACAGACATAATCTCTGGCTACGATCTAAACAGCTGAGAGGAGTCGATAAATCAATCGATATATTGGACATTTGCTACTCTACAGCCGGACGTCATCTTAGATGATACACTGATATTTCCTGGAAAGGCCCGTGTGGGATATTAATGAAAGCGCCAGGTATAACTGTTTAGGTAACAACCTGGGGTAAGGCAACTGACGTTCTAGAAATCTGGTGGGGTGGAGGGACGCAGAAGTTGCAACGAATCAGACACGTGTTGACCTTCATCTGACCGTCTTGCACGTGGAGTTCAATCTCCTTAGACAGCCAAGGTAAGATGAACTCTGATCCTCTGATTGGTACACCACAAGGGGCCTTCTGCAGCCTTAACCGCGCGGCACAGTTTTCCTTGACCACTTGTTGATTTTTCGGGTTCTGAACTCAAAGGTGCACCACCATTTTCGTAAAATCTGTCTGTTATCCTCAATTTATTCACGGTAAGTCCGTACCAAAGGAGATGACTCAAGGTCAGTGTTGGGTCCATTGATACCACGTGGTCCACTTGCCTAGGCACTAACACACGAATTCTAGGCCCAGGGACTAGATCATGTGGTCGATTCTGCCATTTTATCACCGGAGATAAATTTCTGGCACCCGTTGGATGGAACCGTGAAATTGGGGCGATTATCAAACGGTTTTACTAATGGGAGGTACATGGAAGTCATCTAAGGATTTTCCAATCAACCTGGCACATTAAAAATAACATTTTTTTTGCATAATATTAACAATATAAGTCTCCTTGTAACTAATAACTCAGTGGTACGAAAACTTCCACCTCAGCTCGGTAGGGTAAAACCTCGTTTCATGGAGGGAGAATTTCGAAGGCCAACGTCGTTAAATAAGTCTATAAAATCGTGTGTTTTGCTATTGCAGAATATTTAATTGAGGACACGTGACCTACTCTTGTGTTGAGCGTGCTCTGTAAATTCAGATCGTTAAAGTATTTAAAAGTTTTAGCAATGGTAATTATATAAACCGCCTGCTATAACAATAAGTAATTCTTCATTTCGTGTCTTGCGTATGGGTTATGTATGATTGTCAGTGTAAACATCGATTATTTCCTTAAACAGTTCTAACTAATCGATCTTTGTAATGGTGAAGTGTAGTGTTTTCTTCGCGGTACGGACTGAATTCGTAAATATTATTTAGACGGGATTCGAGCTACGAACGATTAATGCATTAATTGCATCGTTTTGAAATTTTACGTAGATATAGATTTTTTACAAGAACTGCATTTCTATTTATATATTTAAAAAAAAACACTACACTTTCACTGTAAAAATAAATAAATATTTTAATTCTTAAGGAAACAGAAAATATTAACATGTAACGCACGTGAAGTGCTTTAATTTGGTTTTAGGTTCTCACGGCGACGAATATGAAAATATCTGTCATCTGGATTATTGCACCTTGAGGATGGAGGCAATGATGTCTGAAACGTCGGTAAATATATACAAGATTAAACGATGCAACATGTCAGAGAATATCCGTGTCCACTTTCGTTTGATGACATAACTAATGACTTGCCATGTGGAATTTGTGTGGTGGTAAGTTTCAGCAATGCAAATGGCGTTAAAACATTGAACTCGCGACCAGCCAACCTTCATGCAGTGCCAAGATCTCGGATATATTTAGTTGAAAATAACTGAGGAACTTTGGCTAGGCTTGTAGTCAGCAGGTTATTTAATTAAAATCCGCTATTCTGAAGGTCAGGGGCTATCAGAACTGTATCGGATACATCTGCGTTTATGTTAAATACTCGGACGAAGGTGCAGTCTGAATACTAATTTAATAACGCAAAATCATTCAAAATGCTTACAATACGTGGCGACGTTAACAAAATGAGCGTAACAGTGGCAAATCGAAATATTTCATTTAAAAATTGCTATTATGCAGTACGCAAGATAATATCCGTCAACGAAAGTGTCCCATCTTTAACTTCCAGAAAGATAGATTTTGCTGTAGGTTACTATACACGTATGCCCCGAAATAAGTACATGTCACCCGTGATTCGAATTGGATTTTCTCGTTTGTAGTTTTCTAAAAGGCTCGTAAGTTATTAGAAGCCGTAAATATTGTTTTGTGTCTGGAGACTTATTATGAGTGATGAATTGCAAAAGTCACAATGTCGTGATGGGGGGACAGACACTGAACCAACTTTCTGTCGGGTGCGTGTGTACCGAAGTTATGCCCAAGATACGTCGTTTTCTAAACCTAAAATTGCCCAATGAGACGCCTGCTAGGCGGGGCTTATCCTAATATTTTTCTCCCGATCTCAGGGATGAGTTGAAGAGGCGAAGTATGTGGAGACGGAGCCTCGACGTGAGGTTTCGACGGCGAACGAGGACAATGTTGGACGCGACGTTTTGGAGTTGTGGCTTCTGTGTCGTGTTGGCGATCGTCCTATTCGTGATTTACGTGTGCAGACGTGTGTACTTTTGGGTTGCGGTTCGCTGGTTGCCGGGGCCACCGGCACTGCCTGTTCTTGGCAACGCACTTTTGCTAATGTGTGCTCCATCACACTGGCTTTCCGCTGACCTGGTATGAGACTTTGGCTCTTTAACTCAATGGTATTCAACCTTTTTTTGTTCTCGTACCCCCAGATATAATTTCTCTTCAACTTTGTACCCCCAAAGTTGTTGGTGTATAATTCGAGTTATACATAGTATATAATCTACATCTAAAATAAATTAAATAAATTACATTACTTATTATTCAGTGTTTATCATAAAATAATATATATTTTTTTAAATTTCACGTACCCCTTAAGATGTCTTCGCGTACCCCCGGGGGTACGCGTACCCCAGGTCGAACATCACTGCTTTAACTGATCTTGATAGTCATTTATTCCAAATACAAACAAATATAGGCCTACTGTTGAAATAATCAGTCAATAACAGAGCGACATTGATTTATTCAGGAAATATGGGCCCCTTTCCCATATCTGTGTACCTGTAACACTCATAATTTGTGGACCAACCGATGGATTCTCACGAAACTTCGTATGAAAACTGTGTCGTTACATTCCACCCAGCTACCTCTGAACTTTTAAATTTATTAACACAAATAACTGGAGAATTGCCGGTGTGCGAATTTCTGAGGTGGGACCTATGCTATCGCCCTGATGAAGAACCCTGTGTTGGAGAAAGATGCTCTGAAAAACACATTTTCAAGCAGACGTTAAATAGATCAGTATAAATCTCAATGAAATGTTGCGACAGGCAACGAGATGATCACATAAGCCTATATATTGTCTTCGGGGAAGTTAATTAGGCCAAAAGTGCGTTATTAATAATGAATGTGAAAAAATTTCGTACAATGGAATTGACTCTTAGATTATTTCCTTAAATAGCGTTAACCATTTAATCTTTGTAATGGTGGAGTGTGGTGTTTTCTTCGCGGTACGGACTGGATTCTTAAATACTATTTAGAGGAGTTTCGGGCTTCAACAGTTCTTGGTTTTGCTAAGCACCGAAACAGTTATAACTTCTTGCTGTAATTTGAATAGAATCGATATTATCGTATCGTTTATAATTCTTGAATCGAACTCTCCTGCAAGTTGTATCTACATCATTTTACTGTAGTTTTATTATAATATATGCGACGAAGTGAGATTTGTTATGAATACAAGAAACATTTTGTCGGATGGAATCTTTTCGCGGGTCGCCTTGTGACCTGCCAGCGACACAGTAATCGCGAAGACAATACATGGCGATACGCAGATAAGATGTGTTTTGCTCTAAGTTTTCAAGGAAATATGCCAGCCGCTTTCTACTTTACGTAAACAAGGAAAAGTGACCTTCCTTAAATTTGGCCTGACTTGTTTTCCCCTCAACTGCGTTTCTCAATAAGACACTCGCATAAACAAACAACAGGCGACTTAGTTAACATCCGCCATTTCTGTTTCGAAAATTAATAGACTACAACAAGAAGAGTGAAATGTGTCATACCCGGGGGGGGGGGATTCCGCCCCTGTGCTATGAGCCAAACTCTTTGCTGAGTTATCGTTATCAAGGAAGAATTGGGTTTTCGTCTCGACTTCGAGTCATGACATGTTGAAATTCTTTGTCTTATGTATATTTGAGAACCGATACGGTGAATGGTTTACAATATTTATATTTTATTTACTCTGTTTTAGAGTTTTTCCAGCTCTTGACTCAGTGTGCTGAAAAATATGGGGATGTTTTTCGTTTGTGGGTTGGACAACGACCATTCGTCTTCCTCTACCGCGCTGAAGCTGTCCAGGTAACTAATTAATGACAACCAGGAATTATAAACTGAAATAATTCTCTTCGTTATGGTGAAATTATTCTATAAAAGAGTAGGTGTGAATATCTTTCAGCCGTTATTTTAAAGAAAAAGAATTATCTAAATATCTTCTTCACGTAAGATTTGAGGTTTTCCACAGCGGTGAGTATGAAGATTTCTGTTAACATCGACCAGACTATACATCGCAACAACCCAGAAGACAGGAATCTCTTTATCTTGTTCACGATTTTGAATCTCGTATTTACATATGCAGATCAATGCTAATGGATTGTATAGGCGACCAGTTAATATATCACGCTGGCTTAGACGCTTGTATTTCGTTAAATATAATTTGAATCACACTGAGAAAAAGTGAATACATTTTTATAAAGCTTGCAGATGTGTTACTATTTCGTAGGTGTATCATGTGTTTCGAAGACGATAAATTCGTCCAGTCACTTTTAATGTAGACTCTCAGTAATAAATTTAATGGAAATTCGTTGTTTTCGGAGATGCATCGTGCGAACTGTCACAGAAATTCGGGAAGTTTCGCTTACGAGTGTGTGTTCATCGAGATAGAATTTTTGAAATAAACAAAAGCTAAGTTTCCGGGTTTTCTTAATAAGGAGCCCCCAATTTTACGTTATTTCGTCCTGCATGGGAAAATACGATTAAGACAACTGCGTTAATTGTTATGAATCTGATTAAACAATTATCTCATCTATGACTAATTTCAGTTACAGCCTAATTTGTAAGACAGTCGTCACTCGTAATTATGTCGGTTGCGATCATAATTAAACAATGTTTTAACAGTCAGTGAGTGTTTGCATCTTGAAATGTTCTCATATTTTGTCCACAGCCTATTCTGAACTCCAGTCTGCACATTAATAAAAGCTACGAATACAGTTTTCTGTTGCCTTGGCTCGGAACTGGGTTGTTAACAGCCACTGGTGAGTGCCCTTAAAATAATCAATCTCAAATGTGCAGCTACGTTCAAAATTAAGATGAAGCTGTACCAACTAATTTTAGTGAAACTCTCAAATATAAAATTAATCGAGATGTTACGATAGACGAATTTGACAGACATGACGCATTTTTTTGCAACTTCGTTGTGTGAAACTTGAAGAAGCGAGTTTAGAAAATGGAAGGCTATTGAACTAGCTCTGACAGATGCTGATGGATTTTTTGATTCTGTAGTTCCTGAACAGGTTTCGAACTTGTACTGTGGAGTCAGAGTCAGCTAATTTACGTAGAATCTCATGAATTGGACTTCAGCATTGCACTGCTCAGCATATAAACAATGATACTTTCACTGAACGTGAACTTTCTTTACTTGTGCAGGGGAGAAATGGCACTCAAGGCGGAAGCTTCTGACACCATCATTTCACAGTCATATTTTAGAGGACTTCCTTGAACCAATCTACCAGGAGAGTCTTCTTCTGTGCCGACGACTGCAGATGGAGCTGGACAAACCGTACTTCAATATCATGCCATATGTTAAACTTTGTGCCCTCGATGTCATCTGCAGTAAGTGAAACTGATGTTACGTCACAGACGTAGAAGACGAGTCCATCCAGAAACTGTATTTCCTGTGAATTATTTAAAGTAAAAGACGACATCTTATCTGCTATTCACATTTTACTGTAGATATTAAAATCAAAGTAAATTTTGAAAAATAGTCTAAAGTTGAGAGAGTCCTGTGTGCGGATATAATTAAAGATTTCATAGATGACATGCAGTTTATGACAAAGTATTGCAAGTGATGCGTCTTCTAGCGTATACAATAAAGTTCAGTTGTATTTAAATTAATTTTGGCTCTAGGTACTTATCAGTAATTTAAACTAAACTTGATTATCCCTGTTCTCAGATCTTTAGACAGATTTTTATAACAGGAAAATTTTCTTTGGATATCATCTATACTTTTATGTTTTAAACTTCAGGAACAAAATAAGTGTACGTCCGATAACAATATCATCACGACTTCACCAAATCACTGTCAACAGACATATTACAGCAACTACCTGAGGGTATTTCTTTTTTTTCATTTTCAGATACTGCATTGGGAACAAACATGAATGCACAGAAAGATTCAAACAGCGAATATGTGATTGCTGTTGACAGGTTAGTTAGTAAGATAGTGTAATTGCGTCATATTGTGAATTTTCTAACAATTAATTATTTTAATCCGTCTGATCACAATATTTTAAAATTTCTTATAATTAAGATAATAAAATATCATTGATGTTCCATATCGATTGATCGATTTACATTTTGGAACATCCTTTACACAACATGTTTCAGTTTTTATAAAACCATCATCAGGTGTAAATTATTTACGAACTTAAAACTCAAATATGATTCCATTTGGTGATGTTTCATGCCATTTGTTTTTCAATTTTGGGCGAGGTGTTGTCTTTTCTTAAATTTTATCAGATGTACATATCGGTCATAGATGTATTGACCCACACCTACACGATGACAGTAGTACTTCTGGACATATCGGAACAATCACTCCTACATCTATGACCGATATGTACATCTGATAAAATTTAAGAAAAGACAACACCTCGCCCAAAATTGAAAAACAAATGGCATGAAACATCACCAAATGGAATCATATTTGAGTTTTAAGTTCAGTTAGTGTTTAAAGTATTGGTTTTCTCTCTGTTGATGAGCTCAGTGTCAGTTTTCAGCTAGGATGAAGAAAACACATCTACATAATTCAATTCCTTTAATTACTCCTTAGAATCGCAAGTGATAACAATATGGAACACAGGAGAATTGATTTCATTACTTGTGTGTTCAAATAGTGGGTCTGTGTACTTTTTGAAGCCTCAAATTTGTATTAGCAGCCATTCAGCCTGTAATTTATGTTAATTGCTTATTACTCTTTCTTATTTGAAAGATCGGTTAACTGAATTGCTCTAATAATTTTGCTAAATTGTAATTAATTAAACAAATGTAATCCAGAAACAAATCATATATGCCTACTCTACATTAAAATAATTTAAAAGCCTAATTATGTTACACTTTCTTGCATTTCTTGAACAGACTGTCTGAAATTCTTCAGAGGAGATTCATAACTCCGTGGCTAAAACCAGACTCAATATTCAAGAGATCAGAATTTGGGAAAAGACAGGCACAGTGCCTTAAAATAATCCACGAATTTACAAGAAAGGTGAGTTGGAAAATAATTCGTAAATTTACAATATGCAAATGTGTCGAAAATAATCGACAGATTTGCGATAACAGCGAATTAAAAATAATTCATGAATTTAACAGCGATGAGTTGACTGCTTCAGTACGTATTCATTTATTTACCTCAGTGCATCATTTATTCCTTGATCATTGTCGCTGTATGTGCACTATAATGCAAGAAGGGCCATGTTTCCGTCTAATATCAACATCGGTCCAATGTAATTGCTAATTTCCGTGAAACTTAAACTGCCCATTATTAGTTTTCTCAAAAGACCACAACTACATTTCAATTGCCTCTCTTCAAGATATGTATCAGTAATAAATAAACATCAAGAGCAAAGAAGCATTATACAATCAGACTGATTGCCTGGGAAATCTTCACTGAAAGTTAGTTTCAAATTATAATTTTAAAGGCCGCTGCAGCCTAAGGTTAACATCCACTCGCCTGAACATGCTAATTGGAGAATCCAAGGAGGGATAATTTCTTGGCATAAATTTGATTTTATCCTATACCTTTCAATTGATTTTAATTAGCAACAGTTGATGTTCTTATTCATAATTACAAGAAAATTTAAAATTCTTTAAATTTGCTTTTGGGTGAAATCCGTGCAGCCCTAACTCAGTTTGTTGCATTATGAGATTTAGTCCTTCAGTTGTAATGTAATGTAATTAATCTCAGTTTATGGCTGAGTCTGACTTAGATTTGTTTTAGAGGATTAGAAAAATTGAACACTTATCAAAATGTCATATTTCATTTTGTCCCACAGGTAATTAATGAACATAAGCAGGAAAGGAAGCAACAAGAAAATTGTGTTTCAGAAAATTCACAGTCCGCTGAAATAAAGAGTAAGTCCCTTTACAGAAAGACATTTTAATTATGGTGGTTGCAGAAAGAAGTGACCTCTACTGTAATGTATACAGGATTAAAACCATAAATCAGCATTAAAATGATAAAGACTCTGCTAGAACTGTGTATTTCTAAAAATGATTTTGCATTAAATACTTCACATACTCTGTTGGTACCCACAGAAACACAGTAAGACTCTGCTAGAACTGTGGATTTCTAAAAATTATTTTGCATTACTCTGTTGGTACCCACAGAAACACAGATGAACTGCATAGGAGGGTGTAAAAATCAAAACATTTTAACTGTTGTATTAAAAATTAATTGATCATAGTTCATGTAGGAGCAGGATAATGCAGGTCAAGTTGATTACAGATCAAAATTCAACACTCAATAAACAGAAGTCCTCTGCAATCTTAATGTCGAGCAGAGGTGGTAGATTTGCTGTCATACAAAGGAATGGAAACTGTATTCCAAACAAAGAAACTGATTTTATAATCAAAAAACTGAATGAGTGAAGTGTGTTTGATTTTGATTTTAAATGGAAGTAAAAGAATGATCTTTTATGCTAGAACTTGATTCTTTATTAATCAGAAAAACGCCGATTGGCATTACTGGATCTACTGCTGGAATTTTCTCAAGATGGCAGCGTACTGTCAGCTAGTGACATCCAAGAAGAAGTGTCCACTTTCACGTTTGCAGTAAGTCTAAATTATCACGCAATGGTATTAATAAAGGAACTACAATTTTCCAGTAGTACAGAAACCATGTCTGAATGGTTTCTTTTGCATTTCTTCTTATGCAGAAACTAGTACATTAAATATGAATACCACAGTGAATTATAAGAAGAAAATTAAATACATGAAAATAACTGATATTTATAGTTCAGAGCCTTCTTTATGTGGTTTATAGTTTTCAGATGATAGGATTTCACTTATTTTGATCAAACCCACCCACAACTGGGTCCCAATTTGAGGGAATTTGAGCCAGTCCAAATCTTCACAGTCTCTTCCTCCAGTATCAACTTTAATATTATCCTTGAACTTAGCCCTTACAAGAGGATTCTTCTCAAAAGGCTTTTCAACCAAAATTTTATTTGTATTCTTCTACCCTTGCATGTTAAATATTCCAACAATCTCATCCTTCTTTGTGTAATCACGTAGCAGTGTCAGGCGAAGTGCGAAATCTATGAAGATTATCATTTAGTTTTCTTTGTAACCATGATATTTCATCTATCTCATATATCAGTATTCTTGCTAGTATAGTTTTTAAAATTGTACTTCTAAATTTGAATCCTTTATAAAATGGCCTTCCACACATTATTAACCAGTAAAAAATAATAAAATAGCATTCCACACATTATTAACCAGTAAAAAATTTCAAGAACAAATCTGAGTAACATGAATTAGCAATTTTATCCATTTTTATCTTTATATTTTAAGAAGATAAGCTTCTTATAAGGCTACCACTGTTAATAATACAAACGGGATATAGACAGTGGTCTCTAAATGATCAGGATTGAACTACAACAGTTTCTAAAGGCAGTGGTTACGTAGCATTAAATAAGAAATTACAAGATTATTATGAACAATAAATTAATAGGGAACTGGAAGGTAATTGTCCTGATCCACTTGATAGTGCTCTGTGGCATTTACATAAGAGACTGAGAAAACTACAAAAGAATAACAATGAGGTTATGTTAGGTTTCGTTGCAAAGATTCAGTGATTAATGCAGGATTGTTTACCAGTACACTGCTCGATTATGTGCTATCTGATTGCGCAATGTCATTTGTTTTTTGTGCTAAGGCTTGCTAATTGCAGGGGCATGACACAATAGCAGCAGGCGTTGGATGGTGCCTTTATGTCTTGGGACACCACTTGGATGCACAAGTAAGTACACGAGATGGAAATGAAAGAGATAAGGAGAACAAAAGTTAAATATTCAGTACGTGGTACATGACCTGAATGTTTACATGACAAATTATTATGGTGCTTGTTACAGTAAAGTATATTGTACTTGAAGTTCAATCCTTTCATTCTTCTATTCACCTTCTTTCATAACATTACTCAGTTTCAATCCCATTTAAATACTATTTATGTTGGTGTTCAATGTGGGGAGGTCATGTTCACATATTCTAATGTCTCGCCTCAGAAACTACCACTGTAAATGCTTTCAATGAAATTTACTGTTAGGAATTCACACTGTGTTATGATAAACCCAGTTTTTCATGACGCATATCATAAAAGTGGATATATCTCTACATGTAACATAAAATATTCATTCGATCATGTCTTCTGAGTCTTGTAGTGATTTTTGTTTTGCAGAAATTTATTAACATATAGACAGACTTGGAACTATAAACAAACAAAATTTTTAATTCTAATAATATTAGGAAATCAAATTTTGATTCATGGTGCTCCAGAACATTCAGTATTGTCAACCCTGCCCCAACAAGATCCGACATATATTATACCAATGGAAACATAACAGCTTCTGTACTATTTAAACATGTGTTATTTACATGGGTACATGTTTTACTGAACATATTTAGAATTTTAAATTAACCTTTCACAGGAGAAAGTTGTTCAAGAGGTGAGGAATGTGAAGGAAGCCGGAGGAGGAGAGTGGCCTACAATAAAGCAGCTCCAGAAACTCATTTTCCTTGAAAGGTGCATCAAAGAGGCAATGCGCCTGTATCCTGTAGTGCCACTTATCGCCAGAGATATAAAGCAACCCGTGCAAATATGTGAGTTATTGAAGTTCATACTGAAAAAAAGGAAACAAGTTATTCATTTCTTGTAGTTCCTCAAGTTAACAATAAAAATTCTAATTCGTTATTCACAATATGTTTATTATTTATCTCTTAGGAGTAAGAATACACTAAAGTATAATACATTATCATTAACGAGTTATCTAAGTACCATAAATGTTAGACTAGGAGTTTGCATTATTATTTGTAATTTCTGTGCTAGTACCTGAAAGGAAATTTGTTTGTGTAATTCTTGTTCATTTGCAGTTGATCATGTGTTGCCACCAGGAGTCACAGTGTTGGTAAACACGTACATTTTACACCGAGACCCCAGATTCTTTCCAAATCCAGATATTTTTGACCCAGACCGTTTTCTTCTTGAAAACTGTGAAACAAGGCATCCATTTGCTTACATTCCATTTAGTGCTGGGCCAAGGAACTGTATTGGTAAGTGTTAACCTTTATTGTATGGGAAGAGGGGATTTAAACCCCTACTACAGGCTGCAAAGTCAAATCGGTGGACTTTAAATCCACGATTAACGATTTAGCAATACTTTAATGCAATGCACAACCAGCTTGAAATAAAGAGCTGTAAGAAATATTTGGACTTACATTTGGGAAGTATCCAATTTAAGTCTTGAATAGAGATCTGGCTATGCTGACTGAGATCGTGGTTTTCTACAGTCACCCCAGATTAAGCTGAGAGATTGTCTTTAACCACACTACCTCCCTTTCTTCATCATACTAATTCGCATTGGGTATGGAGAAATTTACACAGTAAGGAGCATAATAATTTGTATTCTTCATCAAATATTATTAGGGTGTCACGTTAAATAGAATGGGGTGGCTTCCCACCCTTATGGCATGCAATGGTGGCTATGGATATGAACTGTCTTTAGCGGACTTCAGTGTGTCTGTAAGTTGTATCAAGTTAATTTAACTAATTTTATGTAATTTATGAACTCTGAATTAGGTAGAAAAGTGAATTTAGTTTTGAAAGAATGTAAAAGAAATGTTTTCCATATTTCACTGTTTTAGGTCACAGATTTGCAACACTTGAACTTAAAGTGATACTTTCAACTATCTTGTGTCAGTATATGGTGAAGTCTGTGGACGCTGAACGGCAGCTGAACCTCATGGGGGAGCTAGTGCTCCTGAACAAAGAAGGTATCCAGTTATCCATTGCTTCCAGAAAATGAGTGATGGCTGTGCATATTGTTGACATTTTAAACTAAACAATTTTAAGGTTAAGTAATCCATACTTTACTGGATATATAAATACAGAACAGGAAATCATTGACACATCCAATCCCACCCACTCTAAGCATAAAGGTAGCCCCTGATGATGGCCAAAACTGGCAGAAACATCCTGAACAGGGAAGGTAGAGGAGTATATTGTGTACCAGTTAATGTATGGTATAATGGTATGGATCTCGGTATTAAGATATTAATTTTATATTAATAAAATTATGAAGAAGGGATCAGAGTTTAATTTTATAAATTGAAAGTATAAAGCACACAATTCTAGTTTTTGTTATCAGACGTATTAAACTTATCACAGCCAGTCCAGCAATATAAAGAGAAAATGTATTTGTCATCCTTTACATGTAACAGTCTTAATAAACAATACCAGCAATAAATACGTCATAGTTCCATATTGCTTGGTCCATTCTCACATGATGATGTTGAAGATGGAACAGATGTGATGGTAAATATTAACTGTGAAGATGTTGAAGACGGAACAGATGTGATGGTAAATATTAACTTGCTCAACATTGGAAATATTTCTACATTTGAAATAACTACAGAAATGTCAGACAAGGCCGTATTTCAAACCATTCACCAAGAACATTTCTGATATCCTGTTATTGACGTATGATATATATTGTTAATATCGACAGTTTTGAAGTGTTGATGATGTTTTTTTTGGCATTGTAATACCTTGCTGACATGTAAGTACATACCAACACTTCTGAGGAACATACTGTCGCCGTCTTCTGAGCTGATGAGAAAACTGTTTAACAAGGAGCTTTATAATTATTAGTCTTCACAAAATGTTTTTAGGATTATCAAGACAGGTAGGATATATACCATGCACAGAAAAGTTAAAGAGAATGATACAAAGTTCTGATCAGAAAACTTGTAGGAAAGAGATCATTTGTAAGCCTTAAGTTTAGATGAAAGAACAATATTAAAAAGGATCATAAAGAAATTGTTTAGAAAGTTGTGGACTGGTTTAATTTGACTCAAGATTGAGGTCAATGGCATTCTTCTAAAAACAAAAAGGATCAAACTTGCCTGGAACCACCTCTAAGAAAGCAACCTGGAAATGGAAGACATTCAACATGTTTCAACCTGAAAGAATCTGCTGCTGCTGCAATCCATCATTGCAGAAGATAGAATACTGCAGAAACACAAATAGAAGGGGGACTTCATGGCTGTCTTGGAAAATTGACCAAAGGAAGTGTTGAACCACAGGATGTTATTATGTGCACAAACTTACAGAGTGTACTTTCCATCGATAGATCTGCAGATGAAGTATTTTTACCCACTGGCAGATTCCAGCATTTTTGATGAACTTTAGTGGGTCTGTTGCCATGAAGTTCCTTTGTCATTAACTATTTATGTTATACCCAAAAGCCATAACATGTGAAATGCCAACGTTTGTAATTCATATGTGGTTTACAGGAAACAAAGACAAATAATCATAGGTATGTTTGGTCATATCTAAGCAAGTAACTAAGCAAAGATCATCTACTCCACTTCTCAAAACAATATCTTTTGAGATGACAGTCTTCTGGGATGTTGCTCCGTGCAGCTTGGTAGTAACTGTTGATCAACATCCCAGAAGCAGTCCTCTTCATACTTGCCGCCGTGAGAACGAGATATCGCATCAACCTCTTCCATAGATTTCGAACATGTAGTCGTAGGCACAGGTTACGAAGAGATGATTGCAATGTCTATGGATTCCGTGTTGTTATGTTGGTAATTGTATTTGTAATGTAGTCGTCACGCTTCGTTGGTGAATCGATTGTGTTTTTGTTTCTTCGAGAAGTGAGTGAAATTGTCGAAATGCCGAGTCAGGAAGTTATTACTAACAAAGTGGTGGTTCATCCACTTGTATTATTAAGTGTGGTTGATCATTTTAACCGTATGGGAAAAATTGGAAACCAGAAAAGAGTTGTTGGAGTTTTATTAGGATGCTGGAGAACGAAAGGTGTTCTGGACGTATCGAACAGTTTTGCAGGTTAGGAATCTTAGATTCAGATGAATTTGCATAAATTATTGTTTCGTCACGTTTCTTACGATCCCACGTGATACTGACATATTGTAAGTAATTATGATCTAATTTATAGTAAGAACAACTTTAATTTCTTGCCCGTTAGAACGCATTTGTTGTGTCACGGATAACGAATTTACATGTGTGTTGCATCTTAACAGGTTATGGTTAAATAAATTAAGAAACCAAGCAATCAACTATTGTTTCAAACCCTACTCATCCAGTCTGTAGTCAGAAATTACACTTACTGAACTAGTTACAAGGTGTAAGCCATCTCCCTTGATGTGTATGAATTTCTCAAGAGAATTTAAGTGTTTTGAACCTCAGATATTCACACATTAAGAGCTTATAATGCTTAGAAACTTCCTTAACTCTCAGCAACTATGTTTCAACTAATACAAAATCACTGTGCTTTATTTCAAGTTCCATTTGATGAAGATGATAAGGACAAGTCAGTTTGGTTCCTTGATCATGACTACCTTGAAAACATGTATGGCATGTTTAAGAAAGTCAATGGTAAGTACATATGTGATATATCCTGTTAAGAACTTTCAGGACATTAGCAATAGAGAAGCTAATCTGTGCTCACCAAGCTGGATTTTGTATTTGTGTTATTTCTTTTGAGTATTTGACACACACATTTATATGCTGATTGCTGATGTGCTGTTTGTGTATAGCTATTAAATGTGGGGATTCAGAAACCCACATTTCAATACCTGTATTTTTACTGATGTGATGTAAAGCTACTTGCGTACATTTCCAGCAAGAGAGAAGATAGTTGGCTGGTATCATACTGGACCCAAACTGCATCAGAATGATGTTGCTATCAATGAGCTGATAAGACGATATTGCCCAAATTCTGTTCTTGTCATCATTGATGCAAAGCCTAAAGATTTGGGCCTTCCCACAGAAGCTTACAAAGCAGTTGAGGAAGTCCACGATGTAAGTAATACGTTAATAAAGGAGATTTAAATTTTGTGAGGAAAGTGACAATGACTTATTTCACCTGCTGTCTATCTTAGGATGGTTCTCCAACTTCAAAAACGTTTGAACATGTTCCGAGTGAGATCGGTGCTGAGGAGGCAGAGGAGGTCGGTGTCGAGCATCTTTTACGGGACATCAAAGACACGACTGTTGGGACACTCTCACAGAGGATAACAAATCAACTGCTAGGTCTCAAAGGGCTTCATTTACAAATACGAGATATCAGGAACTACTTAGTGCAGGTCAGTTTGACTGCAGTCTTTTTTCTCACATTGTACCATTTTAGCAGCATGCATTGTCTGAGTTTGAACTTGGCTTCATTTCAAAACCAAAGTACATAAAGTGTCTTACATTAAAAATAATCATGAAAACTATGTTTTATTTTATTTTTAATGGCAATAAACTTTACCCTGCATTGTGAATTGATTTTGTAGAAATAATGGAATGTTGCTACTGTCATCATAAGCCATGAAATTAACAAAGTGCACAGAATGCCAAGCTCTTAGTAGGGAACGTCAGACTTGCATGCAAATATTTTTTTTATTCCTGCCATTTTTCCGGTGCTCCTTTGAATTTTGTGATATTGTGTAATATTTTGCGAAAACACATTTTCAGTTTTGTAATTGCATTGCTTGAATCAAGTGCAACTCTGGCATATGCAGAATTGTGGTACACTTTCCAAAACTTGAAAAATGCAGATCTTTATAAATATTTATCCATCTCTAGGTATATACTGGCAATAAAAAAAGGGCTGAGGGACATTGGGTACTTGTATGTTTGTTTCTTGGAAGAGAACTGCAGGTTAGTGATCTTGTAGTGCAGTGGTTCTATATTTTTTGACCACAGAACTGTTTTGCCTTTGCGAAATTGAATTATAAATCTTCCTCCATCCCCAATACGTGCACACAAACACAACATAGGCAAAATATTTATAAAATGGATTACAATTAAATATAAATTATGATTATGGAATATATTTTTGTGAAGTTAAAATATTTTATATATAAAGTTGTTTTATGTTTTCAGGTTGTTCAAGGAAAGCTACCAATTAACCATCAGATAGTTTACCAGTTGCAAGATATTTTTAACCTTCTTCCTGACATCAGCCATGGTAATTTTGTCGAGTCGCTGTATGTAAAGACAAATGATCAGATGCTCGTCGTGTACCTCGCAGCCCTCATTCGCTCCATTATTGCTCTTCACAACCTAATTAACAATAAGTTAACAAACAGAGATGCCGAGAAGAAGGAGGGTAAAAAGGATGAGGTGAAGGATAGTAAAGAGAAGAAGGAGGAGAAGACAAAAGAAGAAATAAAAGTAGAGAAGAAATAGAACTCTTTTTGAAAGAACAGTGCTGATTAAGATTTTGAGTAAGCACTTTTATTGTAAATTAAACATCTCACATTAAATATAGTAAATCTTTATTCAAAAAAACTTTTGTCTGTGACGCATAAGGAATAAATCGGTGCTTTGTGAAAACAAACTGATTCTATGGGTCAATAATAGACTGAAATGTTGCAAACAGAACATAACTTTATATTTAAATAATAACATCTTTATTTATCTTGAAATGTATTAACATCCTTTTATTAATGACAGAATTATTTTTTCTGCTGTTGCTCTTGGAATGTTTGTATCAAAATGTTTAATTTGCTGTACTAATGTTCATTAAATTTTTTTTTACAAAAACATGCATTTTAATCTCTTTTCATAAAATAAATATTTCGTAAAGGCACGTGGGGCTTGTGGAAGTCCTAGATGTGAGGGTGAGTTATGGTTTTACTATCATCTATTCAAATAAAGTGTGTTTTCAAATTTTATACCATATTACATAGTGCAACATCCCATACTTTCTGCTCTGAGAACCTCACGTCTCACCTAACTGAATATTATTTTTGCATCTTAGTTTTTTTGTGTGTAAGTTTTTTTATACCAGTGATGTACAAATGTCATGTTGGCCATAATTATTAGGGTGGCTGACATGTTACCTGGAATTTCCATCGGATTGATATCACTTTTCAGTCATTTCATTGATAGGGCAAGTAACTGTAACATTTGTGTAATGAAAACTTTTTCAGTTACTGATAATGGACATACGAGCACTTCTGTTGTGTTTAGGGTTAGCATGTTTTCGGAAGTGGAGGCGAGTTATAGTCATTTTCACTAGTTCACGGTTGTCATCTGTATATTTTACTTGTTTATTGGAATGAATAGCAGGGTTTGAAGATTGGGCTGTTAATATATCTTGCGTTGTGAAGAGAGACTTTCGCTAGGCAAGCTTTATCAGTGTGTTTGTATTTTTTTCTGAGTATTCTCTGTAAAAAGAGAAGTACGTTGTATGTCACTGGAAAAATTGTGTACCATTTATTACATCGTATTGTTTACAATAAGAATATAATCTTATATATAGATCATATACAGTTAATTTAAAAAATTCCACTAACAAAGACATTTTGTATGCATTTATAATTTAATCTTGTTCTTATTGTCTTCATAACAAATAATTGTGTAACTTTGCTGTTGCTTCCAGTGAAAGAAGATTCGTAGACTGAAACTCAACTGTTTACATGATGTGCTGAATGGCACTAACCACACTTCAGTGGCCATGTCTTTTCCGCGCTGCTTCATAATACCAGTCAGTTTCCAATTTATATTTTTTACCATCCCAAATGAAATGAGTTGGCATTTTATGTTTACCATCGAACTCAAACCACTTGCTGAATTCGATTGCCAACTTGGATGTTACCAACCCAACAGCTCCCACATGTTCGAGAGCAGGATGGTAAACTCGTCCCGTTTCAGGCAACATGAAAATCCTTTCTGGTTCAAACTTTACACTGAGCAAATCTCCTGCATGTCCATAGCTTAGTCGATCTTCAGGTTGTCCGGTTGTATTATCCCTGATCACGTGAGTGAACACAATAGGGTAATCATCGCAACGTATGAAATTACGTTCTCGTCCACAAAGAGAAAGGTATGGAAATTCTGCCATGTATCGTCCTGTAGTATTCAACCTCAACCTTTTGAAGAAGAATTCGAGGAATTTTTTTGTATTTCAAACCATTCACCAAGGACATTTCTGATACCCTGTTATTGACATATGATATATATTGTTAATGTTGACAGTTTTGAAGTGTTGATGATGGTTTTCTGCATTGTAATACCTTGCTGACATGTAAGTACATACCAACATTTCTGAGGAACTGTCACTGTCTTCTGAGCTGATGAGAAAACTGTTTAACAAGGCGCTTTATAATTATTAGTCTTCACAAAATGTTTTTAGGATTATCAAGTCAGGTAGGATATATACCATGCACAGAAAAGTTAAAGAGAATGATACAAAGTTCTGATCAGAAAACTTGTAGGAAAGAGATCATTTGTAAGCCTTAAGTTTAGATGAAAGAACAATATTAAAAAGGATCATAAAGAAATTGTTTAGAAAGTTGTGGACTGGTTTAATTTGACTCAAGATTGAGGTCAATGGCATTCTTCTAAAAACAAAAAGGATCAAACTTGCCTGGAACCACCTCTAAGAAAGCAACCTGGAAATGGAAGACATTCAACATGTTTCAACCTGAAAGAATCTGCTGCTGCTGCAATCCATCATTGCAGAAGATAGAATACTGCAGAAACACAAATAGAAGGGGGACTTCATGGCTGTCTTGGAAAATTGACCAAAGGAAGTGTTGAACCACAGGATGTTATTATGTGCACAAACTTACAGAGTGTACTTTCCATCGATAGATCTGCAGATGAAGTATTTTTACCCACTGGCAGATTCCAGCATTTTTGATGAACTTTAGTGGGTCTGTTGCCATGAAGTTCCTTTGTCATTAACTATTTATGTTATACCCAAAAGCCATAACATGTGAAATGCCAACGTTTGTAATTCATATGTGGTTTACAGGAAACAAAGACAAATAATCATAGGTATGTTTGGTCATATCTAAGCAAGTAACTAAGCAAAGATCATCTACTCCACTTCTCAAAACAATATCTTTTGAGATGACAGTCTTCTGGGATGTTGCTCCGTGCAGCTTGATAGTAACTGTTGATCAACATCCCAGAAGCAGTTCTCTTCATACTTGCCGCCGTGAGAACGAGATATCGCATCAACCTCTTCCATAGATTTCGAACATGTAGTCGTAGGCACAGGTTACGAAGAGATGATTGCAATGTCTATGGATTCCGTGTTGTTATGTTGGTAATTGTATTTGTAATGTAGTCGTCACGCTTCGTTGGTGAATCGATTGTGTTTTTGTTTCTTCGAGAAGTGAGTGAAATTGTCGAAATGCCGAGTCAGGAAGTTATTACTAACAAAGTGGTGGTTCATCCACTTGTATTATTAAGTGTGGTTGATCATTTTAACCGTATGGGAAAAATTGGAAACCAGAAAAGAGTTGTTGGAGTTTTATTAGGATGCTGGAGAACGAAAGGTGTTCTGGACGTATCGAACAGTTTTGCAGGTTAGGAATCTTAGATTCAGATGAATTTGCATAAATTATTGTTTCGTCACGTTTCTTACGATCCCACGTGATACTGACATATTGTAAGTAATTATGATCTAATTTATAGTAAGAACAACTTTAATTTCTTGCCCGTTAGAACGCATTTGTTGTGTCACGGATAACGAATTTACATGTGTGTTGCATCTTAACAGGTTATGGTTAAATAAATTAAGAAACCAAGCAATCAACTATTGTTTCAAACCCTACTCATCCAGTCTGTAGTCAGAAATTACACTTACTGAACTAGTTACAAGGTGTAAGCCATCTCCCTTGATGTGTATGAATTTCTCAAGAGAATTTAAGTGTTTTGAACCTCAGATATTCACACATTAAGAGCTTATGATGCTTAGAAACTTCCTTAACTCTCAGCAACTATGTTTCAACTAATACAAAATCACTGTGCTTTATTTCAAGTTCCATTTGATGAAGATGATAAGGACAAGTCAGTTTGGTTCCTTGATCATGACTACCTTGAAAACATGTATGGCATGTTTAAGAAAGTCAATGGTAAGTACATATGTGATATATCCTGTTAAGAACTTTCAGGACATTAGCAATAGAGAAGCTAATCTGTGCTCACCAAGCTGGATTTTGTATTTGTGTTATTTCTTTTGAGTATTTGACACACACATTTATATGCTGATTGCTGATGTGCTGTTTGTGTATAGCTATTAAATGTGGGGATTCAGAAACCCACATTTCAATACCTGTATTTTTACTGATGTGATGTAAAGCTACTTGCGTACATTTCCAGCAAGAGAGAAGATAGTTGGCTGGTATCATACTGGACCCAAACTGCATCAGAATGATGTTGCTATCAATGAGCTGATAAGACGATATTGCCCAAATTCTGTTCTTGTCATCATTGATGCAAAGCCTAAAGATTTGGGCCTTCCCACAGAAGCTTACAAAGCAGTTGAGGAAGTCCACGATGTAAGTAATACGTTAATAAAGGAGATTTAAATTTTGTGAGGAAAGTGACAATGACTTATTTCACCTGCTGTCTATCTTAGGATGGTTCTCCAACTTCAAAAACGTTTGAACATGTTCCGAGTGAGATCGGTGCTGAGGAGGCAGAGGAGGTCGGTGTCGAGCATCTTTTACGGGACATCAAAGACACGACTGTTGGGACACTCTCACAGAGGATAACAAATCAACTGCTAGGTCTCAAAGGGCTTCATTTACAAATACGAGATATCAGGAACTACTTAGTGCAGGTCAGTTTGACTGCAGTCTTTTTTCTCACATTGTACCATTTTAGCAGCATGCATTGTCTGAGTTTGAACTTGGCTTCATTTCAAAACCAAAGTACATAAAGTGTCTTACATTAAAAATAATCATGAAAACTATGTTTTATTTTATTTTTAATGCCAATAAACTTTACCCTGCGTTGTGAATTGATTTTGTAGATATAATGGGATGTTGCTACTGTCATCATAAGCCATGAGCAATAAACTTTACCCTGCATTGTGAATTGATTTTGTAGAAATAATGGAATGTTGCTACTGTCATCATAAGCCATGAAATTAACAAAGTGCACAGAATGCCAAGCTCTTAGTAGGGAACGTCAGACTTGCATGCAAATATTTTTTTTATTCCTGCCATTTTTCCGGTGCTCCTTTGAATTTTGTGATATTGTGTAATATTTTGCGAAAACACATTTTCAGTTTTGTAATTGCATTGCTTGAATCAAGTGCAACTCTGGCATATGCAGAATTGTGGTACACTTTCCAAAACTTGAAAAATGCAGATCTTTATAAATATTTATCCATCTCTAGGTATATACTGGCAATAAAAAAAGGGCTGAGGGACATTGGGTACTTGTATGTTTGTTTCTTGGAAGAGAACTGCAGGTTAGTGATCTTGTAGTGCAGTGGTTCTATATTTTTTGACCACAGAACTGTTTTGCCTTTGCGAAATTGAATTATAAATCTTCCTCCATCCCCAATACGTGCACACAAACACAACATAGGCAAAATATTTATAAAATGGATTACAATTAAATATAAATTATGATTATGGAATATATTTTTGTGAAGTTAAAATATTTTATATATAAAGTTGTTTTATGTTTTCAGGTTGTTCAAGGAAAGCTACCAATTAACCATCAGATAGTTTACCAGTTGCAAGATATTTTTAACCTTCTTCCTGACATCAGCCATGGTAATTTTGTCGAGTCGCTGTATGTAAAGACAAATGATCAGATGCTCGTCGTGTACCTCGCAGCCCTCATTCGCTCCATTATTGCTCTTCACAACCTAATTAACAATAAGTTAACAAACAGAGATGCCGAGAAGAAGGAGGGTAAAAAGGATGAGGTGAAGGATAGTAAAGAGAAGAAGGAGGAGAAGACAAAAGAAGAAATAAAAGTAGAGAAGAAATAGAACTCTTTTTGAAAGAACAGTGCTGATTAAGATTTTGAGTAAGCACTTTTATTGTAAATTAAACATCTCACATTAAATATAGTAAATCTTTATTCAAAAAAACTTTTGTCTGTGACGCATAAGGAATAAATCGGTGCTTTGTGAAAACAAACTGATTCTATGGGTCAATAATAGACTGAAATGTTGCAAACAGAACATAACTTTATATTTAAATAATAACATCTTTATTTATCTTGAAATGTATTAACATCCTTTTATTAATGACAGAATTATTTTTTCTGCTGTTGCTCTTGGAATGTTTGTATCAAAATGTTTAATTTGCTGTACTAATGTTCATTAAATTTTTTTTTACAAAAACATGCATTTTAATCTCTTTTCATAAAATAAATATTTCGTAAAGGCACGTGGGGCTTGTGGAAGTCCTAGATGTGAGGGTGAGTTATGGTTTTACTATCATCTATTCAAATAAAGTGTGTTTTCAAATTTTATACCATATTACATAGTGCAACATCCCATACTTTCTGCTCTGAGAACCTCACGTCTCACCTAACTGAATATTATTTTTGCATCTTAGTTTTTTTGTGTGTAAGTTTTTTTATACCAGTGATGTACAAATGTCATGTTGGCCATAATTATTAGGGTGGCTGACATGTTACCTGGAATTTCCATCGGATTGATATCACTTTTCAGTCATTTCATTGATAGGGCAAGTAACTGTAACATTTGTGTAATGAAAACTTTTTCAGTTACTGATAATGGACATACGAGCACTTCTGTTGTGTTTAGGGTTAGCATGTTTTCGGAAGTGGAGGCGAGTTATAGTCATTTTCACTAGTTCACGGTTGTCATCTGTATATTTTACTTGTTTATTGGAATGAATAGCAGGGTTTGAAGATTGGGCTGTTAATATATCTTGCGTTGTGAAGAGAGACTTTCGCTAGGCAAGCTTTATCAGTGTGTTTGTATTTTTTTCTGAGTATTCTCTGTAAAAAGAGAAGTACGTTGTATGTCACTGGAAAAATTGTGTACCATTTATTACATCGTATTGTTTACAATAAGAATATAATCTTATATATAGATCATATACAGTTAATTTAAAAAATTCCACTAACAAAGACATTTTGTATGCATTTATAATTTAATCTTGTTCTTATTGTCTTCATAACAAATAATTGTGTAACTTTGCTGTTGCTTCCAGTGAAAGAAGATTCGTAGACTGAAACTCAACTGTTTACATGATGTGCTGAATGGCACTAACCACACTTCAGTGGCCATGTCTTTTCCGCGCTGCTTCATAATACCAGTCAGTTTCCAATTTATATTTTTTACCATCCCAAATGAAATGAGTTGGCATTTTATGTTTACCATCGAACTCAAACCACTTGCTGAATTCGATTGCCAACTTGGATGTTACCAACCCAACAGCTCCCACATGTTCGAGAGCAGGATGGTAAACTCGTCCCGTTTCAGGCAACATGAAAATCCTTTCTGGTTCAAACTTTACACTGAGCAAATCTCCTGCATGTCCATAGCTTAGTCGATCTTCAGGTTGTCCGGTTGTATTATCCCTGATCACGTGAGTGAACACAATAGGGTAATCATCGCAACGTATGAAATTACGTTCTCGTCCACAAAGAGAAAGGTATGGAAATTCTGCCATGTATCGTCCTGTAGTATTCAACCTCAACCTTTTGAAGAAGAATTCGAGGAATTTTTTATCTATTGAGAAAATGAAAAAAGTGTGTATATATACTGACTGTTTGTTGTAAATTTGTGGTTTTTATATACTGATATTTAAATGTTCCAAATTTAAAGGGTTCTTGTGCTTAGTGATCATGTGCAGATCACCTTTTGATAGGGAAATTTTTACATGGTGCTGTATTGATTTTACACTGAACATGAACCATCACAAATTAGTTACCTTTGAAACATGATGTGAAATTTTTCATCCGAGCATCATCAAGAAACAGCTGAAAGATAACACTGAGATTAGTGCATGAATGAATTTGTCCTGCAATCTGGTTTTGAGACATGAACCTATACTTTTTCTCTGAATTTACTTCCAGGACAGCTTCCTTAATAGCATCTCATAGAGCTTTGTTCTGCTTTATGGTATTTAGGTTTTAAAAGCAATAGATCAAAAGCTGGTATGTCCAATTCCAACCTTCCATGGTTTTCTGGTATCTTCTTAATGTATTCTAAAAACAATAGTGTTAAAACATGTCTTTGTTTCAGTCCATTCTGAATGGGAAATGTTTAACTATTTGAGTATACACGATTTACTTCTGACCCTGCCAGAGACCAAGTGGGAACTGTTAAGCAAAAGTTATCCAGACACGGATGTGTAAAATAGCTATAGATCATATGGAATCGCCAAACGACGATTTCTCCTACCATTCCCTGATGATCGATGTAATAGAAATATTCTCTTATTGTAGGTTCTGGAGATTGACCTTGTTCATATGTAGATCCAGGTTGTCTATAGTTACATAGGGATATTTGGAAGAGACGTTTGATGTTATTATTAATGACTCTCCGTAACATTGTGATCTTTCAAGATGAAATTTGTTTTTTTGCTAATTATTGGAATGTTAGTACATCACTTTCTCCCTAAGCACTACGTAAATTACACTCGTTTCATAATGGGACGTCTTCCGTACTTGCTAGTCTTAGTCTGACGAAATCAAACCTTGGGTTCAGTGAAGCACAGAGAACGAATTGACATGTTTTGTTTTTACGCATGTTGGTGTTAATCTATACGTATCAGCCCATATTGGTATTATCTGTGTATTTGAAATCGGGAGAGATGGTAACAAATATTCGCCATATATATTAGAATAGAATAGAATAGAATAACATTTGTTTACATTCCATAGATCCTTCATAGGCCTAAGCCAAGGATGTAGAATGTGTCACTGCCCAGAGTAACTAAAACAATACACACGTCTATTGTCTCTCCAAGAACCTTACTCTTCCGAAATAATCAGGAAGCAGTTGCGATGTTGGTATTATCTAAAATGACTGTATGCTACATAATCTGTGATGTACGCGAGTAGTGGATGTTGGTGCTAAAGTAGTCACGTAGAAATTTCTTACGATATTTAGATGTTTGAAATATGCCTATGTATGTGTCTGTTGTAACTGCAAGATACTACTATGGATTTAAAGGTTCAGTATCTAATATTTTTCACATTGCTTTATTCTGTCTCTGCTATTCAGCAAGACTCATGTTTCCATAGTCTACATTATAAACGATTCACGACATTTCCAAAGCTGGATCTGCCACCGTACTCGAATAAAATAGGGTGAGGACAGGGTTTCTGTTTTCTGCCCTCCATATTTTATTTCATATGACGACTTGAGCAGATCCAGATTCAGAAGTGTTGCACTTCTTTTATAATGTAGACGATGGACAGGAAAACAATTTTGCAAAAATATTTTAGCCCATAAAAGTTTAATTTTTGATTATTTCAATGTACGATTTTGCAGGTGTGATGAACCTAGTAACTCTGAGTACATTAATGTTATCCAGCAAGTTTCACAATACAAGATGGCACATAATGTGAAATTTATCTTTGCTTGACTGACATGATTTATGGAATTGTGGTGATTTTATAGATTGTCTTTGTTGCATATTTCTACAGAGTGATGCTGATATAGATGGGTCTGAGTCATTTCGACGCCAGGGTTCCTTTCGCAAAGTTCTTCCTTCTGTTCCAAGTGCTGACTCACAACTGAGTATGTCAGCAAAGATGATTGACCGACCAGCAATATCAAATAGAGGACAGCAGAAAGCATATAGTCAATATCAGCAAGAGTACAGCATCATTTCAGAGTAGTATGTTGTACATCTTTTTATGTTTAATTTCAGTCTTTTGGTATCACGGTTTTTATTTATTTTGGATTTAATTTCCCATTTCGTGTGTGTTGTGTTTGCTTTTGTATGTAGCTGGCGTAGCTCAGTCAGTACAGTGACTAGCTATGGGCTGGACGACTGGGGTTCGATCCCTGACGGGGGCAGAGGATTTTTCCTGTAGCCTCTGCGTCCAGACTGGCTCTGTCCAATGGGTATCGGGGTCTTTTCCTGGGGGTACAATGCGGCCAGGCGTGATGCTGACCACTCACCCCCACCTAATGCCGAGGTCAAGAAAGAGTAGGAGCTGTACCTCCACTCCTCTCAAATGACCTACATGGCAGGCAGTGGGATGGCTTTACTTTCACTTTGTTTTTTGTATGTAGAAGAAATGGTGCAAGTTAAAATAAAGATACATTTTTGGTATTGTGTTCTGGAAGGTGAAAGACTTGTAAGGTTGTTATAGTAATCTACAAGAAACTGGTCAGATTTTATGTATTATGATTTGACACACTTGATAAATACACAGAAATATTTTTTTTATCATTTAACAGTGATTAAGTATTGAACTGATTATACTCATTTCAGATTTAATACTTTTTTGCCTTTGGAAAGTTGACAGAAAATGTCAGTATGTGGTTGCCATATTCCAAAATTGTTTTATTTTTGTTCTATGAGACGAAGTTTGTTTTTTTATTTTTCAGTAATATGTTACGCAAGCAAGAGTTTCCAGGAATTTATGTAATTCCTTCAGCCCAGAATTGTCTTTGTAAGTACATTTGAATAATAATGTAAGAATAATGTAGAGTTAGAGAAACTTTCTAACAGTGTACTAGCATCATTGTGTTTGTAATGCTCTGTTATTATTAATATTATGTGTGAAGATGAATAACCCTTTTCCCCTAAAGCTTATCTAAATAATATCTAAGAATTCAGTCTGTACTGCCAAGAAAACACAACATTTTGCTATTACAAAGATAATTTATTTATGCTGTTTAAGGAAATGAATTGCTGTTTGTTCTGAGAATCCCACAGAACTTATAAGTACAAAATACAGAATTATTGTTTAAACAGCTGGTACATATAGTTACCATTTCACATTAAGGGGTTAAGGATGCATGCCAAAGGTTGAAATACTTTGTTAAATTCAGCAGTTTGGACAGAATCCGTGTTGGGCATTACAAGGTAGGGTTCTGGTGTTTCATTCTAACCCATCATAACATAAATCTAACCAAAGATAACAGAACGTAACCTAACGCAACTCAATTTTACCCTTGGGCTGATATTGTCGAGACCATGACATGACCTTGAATTGAAACTGAAGGCATGTCCTCTGTTTTCAGTATGGTTTGGGGTACTCTTTGTTAGACAGGGTGTGTACCAAGGAGGAATATTCCGCTTCTGCATTCAAATTCCAGAGGGATTTCCAGATGGTGAATGCCCAGTGAGTTTTACTGTATAAATCTCAAAAACATTTGCTAGGAAGTAAATCTTAGGATTTAGCTTTTTTGGTTAAAACAACAAAAAAGCTGTAGGTAAGGGATTTAGTCTTAAATTACTATAATTTAACAAGACACTTATATCGTTGATGACCTGCCCCAATAGATGAACTTATGGCTAAAATTTAAACCTTCAATATATTTGAACATTTGCTAAGCTCAGGAAACTTACTTTGTTTTCTAAATCTGAATATAAATGTTGGCATATTCATTTTACACATTTACTGAAATTTTCTGAAAAATTATTGATTATCTGGAATTATGAAAGAGAAAATGATTGTGTCGTTGAGTCTTGTGAATTTTGCCTGAAACACTTTGATCGTTGAAGTGGTAATAAAAAAAATAATTTTGTTGTTCAAGCAGAGTGACATTCCTGATGATGGAAGGTAGGAATACAAAGTTTATATCAGTTTTGTATTAAATCTCTGTAGATTGAGGTGATATTACAAATCTTTGTTCCAGAGAGTTGTGTTTCAATCAAAGATTTTTCATCCCATGATAAGTCCTAATAGTTGGGAAATGGATTTAAGGAGTGGTTTTCAAGAATGGCGTAAGAATGTTAACCATATATGGCAAGTGGTGCATTATGTCCGCAGGGCATTCTACAAAATAGAAACTAAATCTCCGTTAAATCAGGAAGCATCAGAATTGTAAGTTATGTGAAGAATATTTATCTGCCTTGCATGCACTCAGTATTTACATATAATTTTTTCTTAATTGTGTTATAAGCAAATCATACTTGTAGACGTGCTTTATAAAAAGTTTTGAAAATATTGTAGTTGTTTTGTTATTTGCATCTGTGTATTTGTCCACAAGGAACTGCCCAAACTGTGGGGTCCAGCAGAATTTTTAATTTAGATGACTCGGGGACAGTAAGTGGGGCAAATATTTTTATGCACTGCGTGATTGAGATTGTGCATTGAAGAACCAAATAAACTCGGCATTAGCATTTATTTGTTTCATGTTATTATTGATGAAATACTCTCGGGCTACGAGCTGTGTCGGGTGGCTGACCGACGATTAAACCAGATCTGCCAACATTTCGAAAACGATCTGTCCGCGTCCTCGGTTGCTGTTCCAGTTCCCATCAGCTAGCATTCAGGAAAAGAACAGACTGTTTACCCAGCAACCCTGAGGATGAGAACAGAGATGGTACTCGAAAAGTTGGCGTAAGATTTGGTTTGTTCACCGTTCGGTCACCTGACGCGGCTTGTGGCCCGAGAGTGTTTCATCAACTTGAGTCGTCACAAAAGCTTCATTGTCTTGTACAGTTGAAGGCTTATGTCGGTCAGTTGATGATTTATGTGCTGTTGGTCTGTTATCATTGAACCGTTTCTTGCGTGTCTTAAATGGAACTTGCAGTACTGTTTAATTAACAGAGCAAATTAGTTGGTTTGGTTATTCCTTTGAATGATTTTCATGAACCCATGTGACAGATACAACAAGAATGAAGATGCATTCTGTGAAAATGTGAAGTTATGCGTGAAAGCCAGCCAGGAACAAGTGTATGATCTTGCACCTACGGATGATCTTCATTACATCAGTTTCGAGCGTTACGATGACGAACGGCACAACCCTGTCAGAGAGTCTATATTTAAAGTAAAGGTTTGTTCATTTTATCACCTCTGGAATATGTTGTGAATGACATATGGGCCATCTTAGTAGTGAGTTGTTGTTTCTCGGCACTACGACCCTGTCGCAGGTTTTCGCCGCCTCCTTTTCGGAGGTGTCTTGGTCGTGCGTGAAGTAGCGAGTGACCAGATCACTGACTCTGCACAATTTCTACTCAATCCTGATTTGACTGCCAGAGACATCTAGCAGTTAATCAGGAGATTTTTTTGGGTGAGAAATGGCTACTGAATTTTGCTTACGAAACATCTCGTATCACGCTTGTAAGGTTATTTTACATGCCGTAAATCTACGACATGGGTCCACTGGCTTATCTTAGTAGTGAGTAGGGAATTGAAACCCTCCTACTATGGGGCTACTGTAACTACAGGCTTAATTTGTTTAGTAGGATGCTTACATGACACATGGTTAGCTCAGCGCACGTACACAGCGTCACATCACTGATAAACACTTTGTTTTGGTAGGTGATACAGTAGAACGTTAATCGTTTCAGGATAATGAAGATGAGCCGAGTTCCTTGGGGTTGTCGTGGGTACAGCCTGGCTCCTTGCAGCCCTTCTCCAAGCCCACATCTTGATACATCTTCTTCACAGAGACTTGGGAATTACATTTGAGTTAATTTCATTGTGCGTTTTTGTACAGGTCAGTAACTTATATGCAGCGTTATATATAAATTTGACTACATTCAGAACTCTTTGTCACATCGCAGAAGAGAGAGATATATTAGTTTAACTGATATTTAAAAAAGTTTTGTAGTTGTGGAAGTCTTCAGGTTTTCATCGTGTTGTGTCGGTAGTGCTGCGTAATTACACCGCGCTGCAGTCTCTTTTTATGGACAAAGTCTCCTAATCTGCGCGTGTGTAATACCAGACAGCGGGCAATACAAATTCTTGGGTTCTGAGAGTTTCGTTACCGGTAATAGACGACGGCTAGAATAGAATGCTGATTTCGCAGAGTCACTGCACTTATCTAGAGAGAGATTTGTCCAACAGGTCCGCACCATCCACGTGTTATGTTCAGATGTAACTTTAGGGCACGAGATCCATTTCATGCTTTCTTCTTCTTTGCTGTTTTACTGCTCTGCTATTTCTGAGTTCTTGGTATATACAAATGTAGACAGTTGAACGTCGAACATATTACCTCCTGCCTTAGCTCCCTTCCACTTCAAACGTATTTGTGCGGAGAGATGTTGAAAGCATTACAGTGTGCCAACTATGGGGCAGAACATTGAATTAAGTATTGGAGGGGGAGATGTAAGACAGGTTGCCTGTCGTGTCCCTACCCCCTCCACTTTTGACATCACAGTTGGCAAGCATGTATGTGTGTTGAGTATGTTATTATATGCATCAGTTATGTATTGATGTAATTGTACATATATAAACCAAAAGTATTTATATTGTTTGCAGATGTAATTATTACAAGGTAGTCGAGGCATGAGGACTGAGGAATAGTTGTAATATTAATTCACTGTCAGTTTAATATTGTTCCCTTTGAATCACATTTCATGAGCTTAGTAATGCGCTTGAAAGCCGTTAATACAAATATAAGGAGAAACTATTGTATTGATGGTCTAAGGGTTTCACATGTTATCACATGAGAAACTTACTTAGTAATTTTATGTTTATCCTTATCTATTTTTTGTGATTTTCCTGATTATTCAATAGAAATATTTATGTATAATCAGTGTTCTTTCACACTTTGGTCTATTGCTCGGAATACTTCTACTCCAAGTGGATGGCAGTTTTTATCCGGAACTGGTTTTCCTACTGGTGTTGAAACATCTCCTGCAAACATTACACAAAGCATTACAGTTGTTACCTTTCTTCCACAGGAACAGTATTAGTTTTTCAGGAGAGATTTAAAATTGTTTCCACTAGTGTAACAGTAACGATCAGGTTTTGTCTCAGTAATTCAGAAACGGGAAAACTTCCCACTAATCAGAGTATAAGGGAATTGTGGTGTTTACAAACTGGAAGAGCTAAAAGAGGAAAATGTACAGCTTCAGCATTCAGGAATGAGCTGCTCTGAGACGTGTACCCACAAAAGATATTTTCTGTGGAGTCGCAGCTTCCGTCACCCTCATCCCATCTGGCGCTGCAGAAGAAACCAGACGTGAAACAGCACACATTTTGAAGAGGGCACACCCCACTCAATCCCGTCACTGGATGAGAAAGAGCAGCCGCGAGAGAACTCCAGGACGGAGCGAATGTTTATGTAGTACTGGTGGACAAGGGGAACGCGTCTGCCATTCTGGACTCCTCGGGTTTTTTTGTTTATTTCCTGATTATTCAGTAGAAATATTTATGTATAATCAGTGTTCTTTCACACTTTGGTCTATTGCTCGGAATACTTCTACTCCAAGTGGATGGCAGTTTTTATCCGGAACTGGTTTTCCTACTGGTGTTGAAACATCTCCTGCAAACATTACACAAAGCATTACAGTTGTTACCTTTCTTCCACAGGAACAGTATTACTTTTTTAGGAGAGATTTTAAATTGAGATTTTAAATTGTTTCCATTAGTGCAACAGTAACGATCAGGTTTTGTCTCAGTGTTTTTCAGGAGAGATTTAAAATTGTTTCCACTAGTGTAACAGTAACGATCAGGTTTTGTCTCAGTAATTCAGAAACGGGAAAACTTCCCACTAATCAGAGTATAAGGGAATTGTGGTGTTTACAAACTGGAAGAGCTAAAAGAGGAAAATGTACAGCTTCAGCATTCAGGAATGAGCTGCTCTGAGACGTGTACCCACAAAAGATATTTTCTGTGGAGTCGCAGCTTCCGTCACCCTCATCCCATCTGGCGCTGCAGAAGAAACCAGACGTGAAACAGCACACATTTTGAAGAGGGCACACCCCACTCAATCCCGTCACTGGATGAGAAAGAGCAGCCGCGAGAGAACTCCAGGACGGAGCGAATGTTTATGTAGTACTGGTGGACAAGGGGAACGCGTCTGCCATTCTGGACTCCTCGGACTACCCAGGAAAGATCCACACTCTCATAGCCGATCCCACCGTCCGATTTTAAAACATTCAGCGTGGCTCATCCCCCCAAAAAAACTGAAGTTGTACATTGAACTCCAGTTGCAGAAACGTAAGGACAGTTATTAGCGCAGACATTCGCCGTGTTTTGATTTTGTATTGTGTTTGTGTATGGCTTCCTAGTGATCTCCTCCTTTTTAGATTTGGAACTAACATTTTGTATTCCGAGTTGCTCAAGATATTCTCAGTCTCTGTTCTCTGTGGATGAGAAACCAAGAAACCATGACTGAAATAAATTATACAATTTTAAGTACTTACCTTGTGGACAAGTGGACATTGCTACCAACAGATCCATATCTGCTATGAACTCGATGTAGTCCCCCTTTCTTGCAGGACTCGCTTTTGTAAAGTATTGGTGCGTATCCTGAAAACAGATGCTTAAGAAATACATATGTAGTATGGAATAAAGATTCCCCAGAATCGTTTTTCTGGAGCCCTTTATCAAACGACACTGAAACGATGACTAAGAATCACAGGTATAAATAAAATTAAGAAGAAAGGGACATGTGCTCTGTGTGCGCGAAGTCTTTTGCTGGTCTTTGTCCAGTAATACATTAATATTAATAATTATCTTTTGACTGCAGCTCCACTGGAATTGTTATAAAATGTGGGCATAGTTTTGAATGTTTTGGCTTACGACAACCGCATAAATCGGATCTAACCTTGGTAAAGCCAGTACACATGAAAATGTTCCACACATCATGAACATCCTGCTCACTCAGACCAAATTTCGCGACCGCTTCAGTAAGGTATGTGTGGCAGGATCCATGTCGCTCCTTGCCTGTTATGAGTTTGTACGTATAATCATCACATCGTGTTCCTATAACAGAATAAAATCATTTGTAAAAAAAATTGTGAAAAGTGACTGTGCTTTTGGAGACCACATTACCAAGCCAAATCTAACGACAACAAAAAAGAAATTGTAGTTTTCATTCAAGATAAAAAGAAATCCACATAAAATTGATAGTTGGAAGTATCATGCACAGAGGACTGTAGAGTAGTGTACGTACCAATAACATCATGAACGCTAGCACCATCTTCGTCTATACCATAATTCTTCAGCGAATCTGCGACCACAGTCGCCATGGGTCTGAGATAGGGCAAGTTACTCCAAAGTCGGTCATATACTGTCAGGTGGGTTGCGTGAAGTTGTCTTGTTTTTCCTTTTAACACAGAATAAACTGTATATGTTATTTTTCATATATTGGATTATTTTACAATGCTGTATCAGCTGATGAGAGCATCAGGAGAGGCAGGCACTATTCCAGCATTTACTTGGGAGATACGGGAAAACTGAAAATAAGAGAAATTGAGCCTGAGATTAGCTGGTTTTTGGTTAGGATTAGAGCCAGGTGACTCCAGAATTTAAGTCACGGTTTTATTGGTGTTCCAGCCGCGTTTTTGCATGATTAAATACATCAAATAACAAAACTGATGGTTATTTCTAACTTGCTGTATTTCAAGTCTACTCTCAGAATTCTCAAATGCTTGTGTAAGATTAGAAAGCGGTTTTCGATTTTATCGTAAAGTTGGGTATGTTATTAATTCAAGTTTTCTGTGTTAGAATTTAATTCATGCCCTCTGCAGAATTGTGTCAACACAGAGAAAAGTAAGACTGTAGCGGCCCGAACAAGCTCCAGGTTAGAAGTATGTTCTCCGTTTCTCTAAAAAATATTCAATGTCAAGAAAATTTTACAGTGAACATTACTTACCAGAATAAAATCTTTCTCGTTTATTTTGTAAATTCCAGAAGTTCACATCTCCAACCTGCAAGAGAAATGGGTTAAATTTAGCGGGAAGAACTTCACTGGTACCTTTTATTTCATCCCAGCTTTACATGAAATGTACAAAGTAAGTTCTGGTAGATGCAGATTATTTTGTGCGTGGGTTCAGTTTACACGAAACTGTCTGGTCCTTGAATTGCAATGTTTACATGCTTTGATTCTGACTCTGCAGAAACCTACCTGAGAACCCTCGATGACGGTTATCCTGCATAGCTCTCCTTCTTTCATTTCCCATGTTGCAGCTGACTTCTTGGGCACTGTAATTTCCAGAACTCTCTTTCCCATCAAGGCTTGTAGGCGGAGATCGTCGTAACGGATGCAGTTGACCCTGGCGGCAGGTGGAGAGTCGTAGCAGATAACGGGTGGCTGTTTGGGGAACACTCGTGGTCGGTCCCCTCGCCCACACCATCCCCCAGATGACATGCTTCTACAGATGTTAACACGGTAAATGCGATAAGATAAACGATGCAGAAATTCACAGGGCTGCTTTATCCATTGGGCAAAGCGACAAGCTGCCGAGGGTGTCGTGATTTTAGGGGCCCAGAAATAGTGACTGTATAGCCACTCGAACAGTAAACCAGGAGTTAATTGTAAATAAATTTCCTACTGAAAGGTATTTTTGTTCTGCATTGTGACATCACGTGGACTTACCTATTGCAGTCACAACTCGGAACAACATCAACATATTTACGGCCATAAGAGGCTCAAATAACACTTGAGAAGTATTTTTGTGCGAGGGAATTGAGCTACAAGGTCATACTTTGCCCAGGGTCCACCATTGCATCAAAGCAGCCTTGATGATGAAAAATATTTTGTTTTCAAGATCTGTACTGCACAAGGATCTGTTGTGTTGGAAATATTTTGAATCTGAGGAAACTATTTGGAGCCTGAGGAGACTGAAGTAATAACGAATAGAGAATGTTTCATGTTGAAGAACTTTGTGATTTGTACAGCGGACCAGATATTATTAGAGTAATCCAGTGAAGGAGATAGTGATGGGCTAGACATGTAGAACATCTGTAGCTACCAGGATTTAGGAAGCAGCCACTTAGGACAGATCTTATGACGTGGGGGCACAAATGTGGTGAAGTGCTCCGGACTATTTTCATTGGTGGCCTTTAATATTCAGGCTCTATTGGGAAACAATTGTTGCTCCAAGGTAATTTAGTCCACGTAATTGTAATTAATTTATTCCATTATATTATCACCACCTGTATAGTTACACTGAGTTAATGGGGTTTAAGCAGCTGTGGTATGACGTTTCCACCCACTCTTATCTAGTGCTGAAATTATGAATGTGTGGAGTCATACCTTCACTCCCTTTTACGTCTTCATAAAGTACAAGAGCAGCTTTGTTTTTGAAGACAGCTGTCTTCTGGATCATTACGCTGTTGAGTCTGGTAGAAATGTATCAGCATTTCAGAGTTGCTTATTCCTTCCATCAGGGCAGGTAATAGTGTTCTTGGAAAACTGTGTGATTGTCGTGTTTTACGTGAAGCAAATGGTTGACTCTGGTGATGTCCGAGTACTGTTTTGTTGCAACACTTTTGGTTCGCGTCCATAAAAAGAAACGTTTACACACTTGGTTTGTTTGTTTACTTCTTACCTGTATTTGTTGCAAGACACCCGAACTTCGCTTAGCCCAACTGCAGTGCGTAGAATTCCTCTCGACAGTTCTCTTACGTAATCTTGTTTTGAGGTCAGCTTGATTCGAGCGTTTGCTCATTGATAACCATTTGTGTAGAGGCATAACGAGACATCCCATGTGGTGTGACGATGCACAAAAAAAAAGTTCTGGGGTCAGGAAATCGGTAACTGCTACCCAGCTCATTGTTAGACAACTGTAATGTTGGCTTTCACGACTACCGTACAAGCTCCTTTACTACTATCCGAAGTTTTCTGTCGAATGTAGCACACTGAGATGATAAATGCATACAAAATTTTAATCGGACGAAGTGAAGCAGAGAGATCGCATGGAAGATACGTGAGTGGATTCAGTTGGCTCAGGACAGGGTCCTCTGGCTGTAATGAATCTCCTGGTTCTATAAAATTCACGCACATTCGTGATGTTGCTGTTTCAAAGATTGCTGCGTAGTGTTAATAACTTCCAAGAGATGGCGGGTGGTGTCTTATCGTAAACTTTATGATTACGTAACACCAATGCAAAGACAAGTGTTACTACGTACGCTAGATTCTCTTCTGGAAACTTAATATAAAACGCTATTATTATTCGTCTGTTTTTACCTTGAGAATCCGGTTTTTACTTTTTTTAAGCATGTTAAACACTGCGGCTTTTACATGAGTTCCCTGCGTAGGGTTGTCACTTTCTGGGCATTCAAAATGTGCGTTTTGTTGGCGAATTTCCGCTGTCTGGATTTTGTAGTATGTTGTATAGTACATGGATTCTCACCCCTTTTTCGATGGCGTACCACCAGTAGTACGCGTAACATAGGTTGAGGAACGCTGGTATAGTAGATACCAAGGAGACAGGGTATTACATATTGGCTGACTCCATCTTCAGGGCGATGGAAATATAAGAACCTCTGAAACGTCGGTAAACTCGTGCGGAACTGCGCTCCGCAACGTCCAAGAAGATAGACATATTCAAAAGAATTGTTTTTTTTTTGATTAATCCGCAACTGTGTTTTGTTATATCTCGATTATTTGAGAAAGTCGATAGAAAAAGGTACACGTCTTTCGGGACACTTGTCAATTGCCTTCAACTCGCAGACGCTAGGATGTTTGACGCCATACGCAGCTACACCATTGAAATTAATGGCTTCCTTAATCCATCCTCATTAAGTCTTTTCATTTTCGCGTGGGTTTCGAAGAGAGACGTGCGGATATTTAATGTGAAGTTTTATTTTCATTCTTGGCAAGAAAGTTCGGGCCGCGCCCGACTACAGTACACGTTTGTTCCTATTTAGAAGTATCTTACTCTCAGCCTGCTTGAATAATGATCTTCGAGAAACTTTAAGAAGCTCGATTTGGGACGAAGTGAAGCAGAGAGATCGCATGGAAGATACGTGAGTGGATTCAGTTGGCTCAGGACAGGGTCCTCTGGCTGTAATGAATCTCCTGGTTCTATAAAATTCACGCACATTCGTGATGTTGCTGTTTCAAAGATTGCTGCGTAGTGTTAATAACTTCCAAGAGATGGCGGGTGGTGTCTTATCGTAAACTTTATGATTACGTAACACCAATGCAAAGACAAGTGTTACTACGTACGCTAGATTCTCTTCTGGAAACTTAATATAAAACGCTATTATTATTCGTCTGTTTTTACCTTGAGAATCCGGTTTTTACTTTTTTTAAGCATGTTAAACACTGCGGCTTTTACATGAGTTCCCTGCGTAGGGTTGTCACTTTCTGGGCATTCAAAATGTGCGTTTTGTTGGCGAATTTCCGCTGTCTGGATTTTGTAGTATGTTGTATAGTACATGGATTCTCACCCCTTTTTCGATGGCGTACCACCAGTAGTACGCGTAACATAGGTTGAGGAACGCTGGTATAGTAGATACCAAGGAGACAGGGTATTACATATTGGCTGACTCCATCTTCAGGGCGATGGAAATATAAGAACCTCTGAAACGTCGGTAAACTCGTGCGGAACTGCGCTCCGCAACGTCCAAGAAGATAGACATATTCAAAAGAATTGTTTTTTTTTGGTTAATCCGCAACTGTGTTTTGTTATATCTCGATTATTTGAGAAAGTCGATAGAAAAAGGTACACGTCTTTCGGGACACTTGTCAATTGCCTTCAACTCGCAGACGCTAGGATGTTTGACGCCATACGCAGCTACACCATTGAAATTAATGGCTTCCTTAATCCATCCTCATTAAGTCTTTTCATTTTCGCGTGGGTTTCGAAGAGAGACGTGCGGATATTTAATGTGAAGTTTTATTTTCATTCTTGGCAAGAAAGTTCGGGCCGCGCCCGACTACAGTACACGTTTGTTCCTATTTAGAAGTATCTTACTCTCAGCCTGCTTGAATAATGATCTTCGAGAAACTTTAAGAAGCTCGATTTGAATGTAATGTGGAAATCTAACTTTGAGGACGATTCTCATTCGGGAAGTCCCGGAGACAGAATATCCTAAAGGTTTTCGTGGTTTTTCTCATACCTCCAGGTAAATGTCGGGATAGTACCTTAAATTACGTCATGGCAGCTTCCTTCCAGATAATTTCCAATTCAGAATGATCTTATTGAAATAGGGTTGGGTAGTGTGGATTGGATTCATCTGGCTCAGGATTTGGAACGGTGGGTGGGCCCTGTGAACGCGATAATGAACCTGCTGGTTCCATAAACGATGGTGAAATTCTTGACTAACTGAGAGATCTATGAGTTACCGAAGAGGAAGCTGTTTGGGTTCAGAAGAATTGTACACTTTCTTCGTCTGTCTGACGACAGGTCCATATGAACAGGATCCTTCCATCCTTTTCTCGGACTGGGACCTGTTCATATACGTTCTTGGCAGATGATCCAGAAGTGGTTTGCCAATGCCTTCTTCTGTGTGTGAATGGAGTAATTGTTGGGATGCCACGGAGGAAAACTCCGTGTTGCCTAGACCACGGCCTTGCCCAACACAAGTTATAAATTCGGGCACCGCCGGGAATCGAACCAGAGACCCCAGGATTACCAGGCCACCGTTCTAACCGCTAAGAGCGAATAATAAGGTGCAATTTGAGGTTTACAATACCAAAACGTGGCAGTGGTCCAGAGATTGAAATATTTGCGTTTCAGGATGCTGTGGCAATTAAGATGCCAGCGTTCTAGGGAGCCTATCAGAATCAAGGTCACGCGGGGGTGTGCCCCGCCACGCCCCCCTATTGTTTAGTACAGACTCTGTGTAAGCCACGAATGTGCGCAGGTTTTAATGGGCAACTTTTGCGCATTTATGTCTGTTGAAATTTGAATAGGAGCCAGAATAGGGCAGACGATCCACTTGGAAGGCCGATTGATAGAGAGTGTTTATGGGTTGGGGAGGGGGGGAGATATCCGCCCGCAAGCAAGGGGTACAGTGCAGCGTTGTGTGTTATTTGTTTTACAATGTTTTGCAACCGATGGGCCCACCGTTTGAGATCCTGACTTTGTTCTTTTTTATTATGATTTATTTAATTGCAGCTGTTAATTGAAACATTTTGCGATGCGAAAAATACAAGGAAATGTTATACAGGGTGATCATTTTTTTTTGTGAACTCGTTAACTTTAAAGAACTTCGTGTAAAAGAGAACTGGGGGGGGGGGATGCAATGGATTTAGGAATGTCACTCTTCGTTGTGTGACAGTAATTAATATTGTTGGATTTGAAGTAGAAATTTACCGACGTTTCAAGGGTACTTACTGCCTCCGTCATCAGGGCACATGTTTACAGCAAGGATTCACAAATAAAATTATCACATTTCTCAGTAGCGTGTTGAGGAGGACCATACTGCCTCCATCTTCAGGCTTCAAGGTCGGTGATTTCGTTTCGAGGGAACGGTTTTTAAAACATTCCGCATTTAATCTTCGATTCAGAAACTTAATTCTTTGCCTAGCTCAGGCTAAGAGACGGACTTAAGTTCAGCCCTTGCCTTGAAACCCACACAGAATGGATTTCTACATTTTGGTGTTCCTGTTTTCAGTTTTGTGGTTGAGTGACTAAGGAATTTAGCCTTCAGGTTCCATTAGAGCCGGAAAATTTATTGAATAGCTGATCGACTGTCTTCTTAAGAAATATTCTTATCCATCGAGGTAATCACTTGCTTTACTCGAGAAGTACAACACATTTATTTAAGTGGTAAGAATGTTGTTGTATCAGTAAGCATCACTCCATAAACACGTGTGTGTGGGGGATGGAGGTAAAGCTCCACGCTTTCTTAATTTCAGCACTAGATGGAGACGAGTCCTTAGCTTCATGGATCCCACTGCTTTACGATTTTTAAGGATGCTGGGTGTATAGAAATCTAGTTGATACTCCACGACGATCAAGGAATCAGTCAATGTTTGTTGTGAGAGTCGTAGGAAAAGTTGGTGTAGGCAGAATACGGAGTTACTGAAGGTTGAAGCAGTTGGTGCGTGTATCGTATGTAATAATAAGCATTGCGGACGCGTGGTCATCAGTAGGAGGGGGCACTGTAGCCGTCTGCGGCCCTGTTGCTCTGATCATTCAAGTTTTTACTCCGGTTACATACACAAGTCTCTCTCTCTCACGCTTACAGCCTCTGAGGGCGTCCAGTCACTGCGCTGTGTCGTTCGTGTCTTGGTTTGTCGCGTGAGCTACCCGCGTCCAGTGCCTCATTTCGAATCTTTCCTTCGCGGTTTACCAACGACTCGAAACTGCTCCAAGTCGATCAAGATGACCGAAAATGGACGGAAAAGCAGCACGGGGGGGAGGAAAACGAGCATGTGTTCCGAGGAAGAGAAGGTAGACCGACGTATTTGCTATATGCATGCTGTAGCATTTGTTTTGTGTCAGAAATTGGCTTCTTAGTAGACTCGGGGTCTCGCAAGAGATTTGTAAATTGTAATAGTGTCGTAGAACTGAGAGATGATAAGAGAATATTAGTGTAAAATGAGATGTGAGGGGGAGAACGTTATTGGAATTGGGAATTAAAAGTCGAATTTCAGTTTTTGGAATAAATATTTTATAATAATCGAATATCTCTGTAAGATATGGTTTATATTAGAGCTGTGGACCGCAAAATCTCGGAGTTGGCCAGGAAGTCATGTGTATAGAAGACTCTAGCCAAATTATTAATTGATTGATTGATTTAATGACTGTAATAGGTTGTTCAATACAATTTTAAAAATGTTCAGACTTGTGAACAATCACGTGTCTAGGATTTCATGCTAACTTGGCTCGTTCTTGGGTTATGTAACGTCGAAGGATATGTCTGAATGATGAATTGGAAAGGATGTGGAAGGAGTCTGTCGTTGCGTATTATGACGTTGTCCTAGCATTTGTTTGGAGTGACTGAGTAAGACCACAGAAAAAATTCAAAATAACAGGCGCAATTATGTGGGGTGGCGGAATTTCACAAGAGGTCGTCATTGTACCATAACCCGGAGGGAGTTGAATCCAGTGGGATTTTGTATTTGGTATTTGCGACCAGACATGGACGCCCGCGGGCGTGTGTACAGGAAGGGGCGTAGAAACGCAGTTACTGAAACAGTTAAATTGGCCAGAACGGATTGAATTATGATTCGATCGTTTAACGACGCATTATACATTGAATTTGATGTGTGGCGTCGGTGGTAGGTTGATTTATTACCGATGTATTGGAAAGACTGTGGAGGGAAGTGGTCATGGCATATTTTAAGGCAAGATAATGCCCCAATATTTGCCTGTGACGACCGAGGAATACTACGAAGGATTCCAGTTTATTTAATAAAATCACACGTGTAGCAACAGTCCCAGCGGATCGTAACATCCTTCCTGAACGTCGCGGTCCAGCGGGTAGCACTCTTACTTCGTAGTCGGGAGGTCCCGGGTTCACATTTTAGCCCGGAGATCGGCTATCCTGGTTCAGGGGTTTCTCCTAGGCGAAAGGGATCGTACCTTAAATTAGGCCACGACTTATTTTCTCCACGTTCTTACCGATTCATTGTTTTATGGTGTTTATGTATTATTTGACGTTAAACAGTCCGAGGTGTTGGCAGCGTCGTTAAACAGACAATAAGGAAATAAATAACACTTCTTTGTGATTTTTTAAAAAAATATATGTACTTCATTTATTCATTAATTTTTATGTTCTTTTCGTAATCCATTGTAATATTTTGGACGAGTTTCTCCTGTTGTAGATTTTAATTATTTTTTAATTTCTAATTGTGTTATTCTTTCCGTGACAAATTTCTGGAAGCACAATGTGGAACAAATGTGTATAAACAGAAAACAGGTGTCCTAGCAGACTGTTTTTCGTGTTATGCTATATTCGTCTGCGTAATATCCGACAAAGACAGGTCTGTGAACTTAACATTGGCTTCGTTTCAGACAGGTTTTCCTGTACTGAAATATATTCATATGTTTTTTTTAAGTTTGAACTCCGAACGTAAGGCCGAAGGATCCAGTATTCAAAGATGCAAATGAATGAAAAATAAAATACCAAAAGGCGAAAATGTCCTCATGTCTCGTCACTAATCCATTACTGCTTATAAAGCTGAATGTCTTCTTAAACTCGACATAAATCCATGAGTGAGTTCGGCTTCAGTTTCCGTCCGTCTTTACTCCTAGGAATGGACATGCTTTTTCATTATTGAATTTGAGGCTGAGTGCTCTAAGAGCTTTTTTGATCGTGGCGTTGAAGGCAGAGGTTTTTGCCCTCACTGGTAATCGAACAGTGGTCTTACAGTTTACTCAGAAGTGCGCTGGTAAGGAGGAAGGGTCCGCGACCCGTGTCGGGCAATGTTCTGGAAAAAGTCGCCGTTAACCTTTCATAATCAGCGCAGCCGGCTCAAAAGTCCACTCATCTGCTTTCTTTCCGAAGCCTCAAGAAAAAGTGGAATACAGAACATAAAATGTTATATGACCTACTTTATGCATCATCTGGGCTTCGTATGTAAACAGCTGTTATTTCCATAAACAGCGTCAACCAGCTGATCCTTGTAATGGCGAGGCGTTGTGTTTTCTTCGCGGTACGGGCTGAATTATTATATATTATTTAGACGGGGTTCGGCTTTAAAGGGTTAACCAGTTGATATTTGTAATGGTGAGGCGTTGTGTTTTCTTCGCGGTACGGACTGGATAAATTACGTTTTCACAATAGAATTTAAGTTAGACGTTCAATACAAAATTTAAGTGGAGTAGGATATGAAGTGATCGGAGACTGGAGAAAATTTCATGAGCTTAAAATTTGTATGCTCGATATTATTACGATGATAAATCAGGGATGATGAGATGGGTGGGACATGTAGGGCGTAGGGGAGGTCATAAATATGGGTTTGTAACCTGGAGGGGGGGGCATTGTATTTGGCTTCTCAAGGGGTTCGTTGGTTCAACAGGCTTTAGAAATGAAGCATTCGGATGGATGGGCGTCAGATCTCTCTTATGCGTTCATCTCCTTGGGACTGGGTGCATATAAGACGCAGTTTAAGACCGGGAAGTAGAAAGTGGACTCGGCCATGTCTGAACGAGGTTATAACGTTTCATCATGTTGATCGATCGAATTTCTCGAGTGCCCTCGAGTGGAGGAGTCACGCCGGTTGTGTGCTCATAGACACGTAGAAGCTTCATCCATCCTCCGTCACAGCAGGTGGTTCTGTTGTGTGTCTGAGTACCGAACTCACGGACTGGTAGAAATGCTAACCTTTGCCCTAACTGAGTAGAGTTTATCTAAACTATTATCGAAAAAATGTCCTCAAATTAGCTAACGTTCTCCATGGATGAGAATCCTTACGCGGAAGCTGCTAGTTGATCAGCTAGTCAAGAGATCCGTCGCCTTTTATGGAGCCAACGCCAGCCCATTGGGCTCTGCTTTTGTTGTGAGATCTAATTTAATATTATCTTTCCATGTGTGCCCTGGTCTTCAAAGTGGTCTCTCTTCAGTTCTGTGTACGTTTCTAATCGTCTCCGGTTGTGCTACATGCCCCGCCAATCTCTCTGTCCTTTATATTTTTTAGCCGAGTTGGAGTTAATAAAGATTTACATCATGTACCAGTGCACTTGGTTTTAAACTCTGAAGATAGAGGGAATATTTTCCTCCGAAACGTTGGAAACGATTCTCAAGACCACAACCCAGAACCCGAAGGTCCTCAAATGTCGTATCATCATAATGTGTTTCTACTTGTCGTCCTGTTAATTCCAGAACGTCCGGTCCTGATATTCGTTTACTGCGTTACTGATACAAATGCACACTTCACACAGGCAGCTAACATTACGTACTATCTCGTACGTAAATGCTTTTTATGACGGAACTAAGCAACAGCAGTCATGTTAAATGACGTACAAACACTATTTAAACACTACAGGTTTATGGTTGTACATACAGTTATTAGTGTTTGTGTGCCAGTCAATACGTTTTCGTTAGTTTGTTAATTTGGCGAGTCTTCTTAACTATTAGATTTTAAAATGTGGCTTACAGATTTTTTTTAGGTCAAATTCTGTACTTCGTATTTCAGAACGATTTGATGTTTTGCACCGTGGAAATTATGGCGAATTCCCAATTTGATAACGAGAAAAGAAGTTGTAGTTAGCAACAGGTTTGTTGTGATTCTTTTTTTTTTGGTATAATTCCCTGACCTTTAGAAACCCAGACACTGAACGACGTCGAATCATGTGGTGTTGCTTATTGTGATGCGCCTTCACACTTTGCGTATGTCCTTTGTCACGTTTGTAATTCATGAACGCATTAATTGTTATATTTAAGAAAGTATTTCTGAATGAAATGCGAAAGACTTACTGCAGACTTAACCGGATTAATTGGCCCCACGAGTTGTGCTCTAGAGACCCTGGGTTTGGCGCACCGAGCGTGGTATTCCTCAGTCACACAAGGGGAATGGCTAAATAAACGTGAATAGCTTCATTTTTGTTATTCCGAGTTATTACAATTTTTCCTGTTCCTTCGAATTCTTATTTATTTGTTCATGAGTTGGTAGAAGTTACTCGTTACCCAAAAAAAAAATGAGATATACCGATTATTTGAACAGTGATTTGAGAAGAATGTGACAGGAAGTGGCAGTGGCCAATTCGAAGGTCTGCGGGCCGCCACTGCTTTGTACAGTCTTTTCAATAATTTGTCGCGCATGCATGCATCGCTTTGACGCGTCTGGCTTGCAGCCAACGTGACGGATATAAATACACTAGCTCTGTGTTCCGCTGGTCGTTAGCATTGCTCTCAACTTGTTTACTACCGAATTTTATTCTACGCTCTACTGGTTTGGGGGGGGGGGGGGGGGGTTGGTACATTAATAGCAACATTTTGGGCTAGGGTCCCTGGTTCTAATGCCGCTTCGGGAGTTTGTATTTTCGTTAATTTGCAATGTCTTTTTTTCATATTCCATTTTGAATACCTCGTTCAAGAAGCCGTATCTAGGTGATGTTACACGGCGTTGGGTACTAAGTTGGCCGTATTCTGGGTTGTAGCGCCGTGTAGTCTGGTAGAAGTTTACCGACGTTTCGGAGGTTCTTGCTGCCTCCATCATCAGGGAGTGGTATCCGAGAAGACGGTTACATTCTAGTCGTATCTAAATAACTCCGTGCAGCGGAATCGTTCTCTAGAAGCTGATAGTCGCTCAGTTGAAGTGATAAAAAGGTCTTAGAAGCGAAATTGGGTTGTGACCAATAGTTTAATAACCGCGTCGTCTTCCACGCAGCTCATGAATGGCAGTGTCAGAGTTTCGGCGGAGGCGGGACTGCCCTTATTCCGTGTAATTAATTTTCTAATAAAGCAACTGACGGAAACTGCCTCTTGTTGGCGTCAGTAAGGAGAG